GGGGTGATGTGCTATCTTTGCATCCTAATTTTTCATTATTATCAACTTTTTTTCCTGTTTGAGAATCACACTGACACCATAAATCTTTTCCCAGCTCGGTTAAAGTTTGAGGAACTAGTAAAACCTGAATCCAAATTTCCTTGGCAGGTTCATGACTATATTTCACATTCTACTTAAAAATAGAATGAACAAGACATATGAACATATGACATATTTATAAATCATAAATATGAACATATTTAGCTGAACTGCTTGCAGTGAGATACATGGACATCAGTATTTTTTTAGGTGCCACTGTAATGCTTCTCATTCAATTATTACAACACAGTTCCAAAACAATAGGACTTACATTTCTTCTTCCTTTTTTTTTTTTTTTAAAACCACTCTGGATTCTTGAGATTTTTAACAAAAAACTTGTACAAAAACTTAGAAGTGCAGCTGTTCAAAGCATCACATTGGCCTAGGAGATTGCTCAGCAGTGAAAGCTGTCATTTTCAACACTGGCATCAGAAGGAGCCTGTCACTACCCACATATTTCCTTTGGATTCAGCATTTGGTGGGAGTGGATTTGAAGTCCTAGCCCAGGGTAGTCTGGAGTTTTAATGACTTTCTCCACAGTGGAACCATTAATTAATTAATGGATTACGAGTTAAGTTCTGTCATTTCCATCTTGTCTCTATAACCTTTGTGAGGTCCCTCACTGAGATCTTGTGAGTGACACAAGACCCTTGTCCTAGCAAGACAACAAGGGAATGAGTCTGATCCATGCAAATCCCAAGTCCTGCTATCACTGAAAAACAAATGAGAAATTTTCAAAGAAAATCTGAAGTTGCGCTACCTCTAACCACTGTTGCTTTTTCAGGTCCCATCTGGTAATGTCTTTCCTCTGTAGTTATAGCCCAAGCATGATGCATATTTGCCAAAGGCCATTAACACATCACTTCTAAAATAGCCACTGAATGAAATATTTTCTGCATTAAGAACATACCTGGTCCTGCTCAAAGTTTTACTGTTTGCAGTTCTAATGCCTTGGGTTTTAGCTTTTGTATTTTTCAGATTCTCTGCTGCTCAGTGTGTAACTCTGAAACTTCATATTAGGTGTTAGTAAGTTCTCTTCACAGGGTACTTAGACAAAACAATTCCTTCCCAGCTAGAGAATCAAGGACAACCTGTACCCAAAAGCATAAACAATGGTGAGGGAAAGGGGGCTGTGGTTGGATAATTTATCCCAATATGTAGATTAACTAAAACTTACAAAAGTATAAAGATTTATGACCGGGATTCATCTTGGATTTGATTCGGGTGTAGCCCTGACCGGGCTCCTGCACTGCCCAAAGTGTATCCTTTAAATAAATACCTGTTCTATTCCTTTTTCTCTGTCTAGTCTCTGTTCTAGGCATCAGTTCACTTTCTTAACTCTGTAGATACCCAAAACTCTAATGAAAATCTGTGTCATCCAGAGTTATTATTTTGAAATTCAAGTTCAGTCATCAAAGCAAAACTTGAGAACCATTTCTAAGTATTAAAAATTGGTTTCTGACACCTAACCATATACATATGGTTTCTGTTGAAGTTAGCAATAATTCTGCTGCCACTTTTAAGCAGAACTTCCTAATTTACTTGGTAGCCACTGTAAGAGCTTAGTTTTCATCATACACACCCAAACCTCATGATCTGCGTTTTACAGGGCCAGTGCTAACACACTGTTTTCAATATGGGAAAAAAAAAATCCACCAACTGTTCCTGTCTGATTTTGCTTGTTACACTAATATGCAACACAAAAATGTTAATACATTGCATCTTACATTCCTCTCCCTAAAGCAATACTGTGAAATAACTCCCACTGGACATGAGAAAAATGGTTTGCTTTTGAAGATGCATTTACCACATTTCTAATCATGGTATTTCAGTCAGCAGGAAGAAGCACATGAACTTGGTCTCACTGAAAGCAGAGGTTAGTAAATAGGAAAGAGAATACAAGCAAGGACTCTGGCACTGCTGTTTCACTAGACAAGGGATAATAATCCACTTTCCAACTGCAGCTGTCACTGGAACAGTTTGCTTCCCACCCGACTCAGATTTTAAGTCTCTGATAAATTGCATGCATTTGCCACTGCTCCATATCCAGCCGCAGCACAACAGCCCCACAACACAGAAGTCCAATATGCCAGGATAATGCAGGCAACCGAAAGCTGCATTTCTCCCATGAGGAGTTCACGTTTAGCCCATAAATTTCCTACATTGAACCGAAAGCCGGCGCCAGCGATAGGCGTGGAAATGCCAGCAGAGGTAGCAGCGGCCCACACTTGCAGGGCCCGGAGCACACCCACAGAGCTGAGGACTCAGAGCGGCCCTGGCCCCACACACCTGCGGCGAGACACTTCCCCCTGGTGTCACACTTGAGCTACTGTTCCCATGAGGAATCTGTGCCTGGAGCAGGACGACTCCTTACAGTCCCGAGCTGCTGCTTCGATTATTTTTCCAGTTTCCAACCAGGTAGAAGCGAGCCAGAAGGAAATGGTAAATCTGAAACGCACCTGCAGCAGGTTGTTGAACCATCTTTGGCCACAACCCTTTGCCACCCACTTTGCCCCAGGCAATTGCTGAGCAACACAGATCCCTGTTTGGCCATGAAAGGTATTTCCCTCTGGGGAATGGGAACCAGGAGTGCTAATGGCCTGTAATCAGCCAGGGATGGGGAACTGGATAAGCGTGCCCAGGAATTGCGTCTTCAGCACTTCCTAGGGACATCGTGCTAGGCCTTCTAGTACAGATGAAGGACCTTCCCCTCACTTCTTTGCCCCGCAAGGATTGTGTCTGAGGAGGCTCAAAGCTGGGTTTGCCTGTTTTGGGAATGGCAGTATTAAAGCTGACTAAAACTTACCAGGTCTTAACCCCTAAGTGGCTTCAGAGCCCCTTTGCAGTGAGTGTCTGCTGCCCCTTGAGAGTGCCCCTCCCCCTTGGACTCCTGTCAGAAAATAGCTATCCTCATACTGTGATCAGCTTTTTTTTTTTGTTTGTTTCTTTGGTTTTTGTTTGTGTTTTTTGTTTGGTTGGCTTTTTCTTTTGGTTTGGTTTTTGTTTTGTTTTGAGATTTTTTTTTTCCCAAGGGAGCCCTCATTTGGGTAATTAAGGCTAACCCTCACTTGATATCTTGTTCAGTTCCTTTTTCTTGGTCCGGTTGCTGAGCCTTGCTCTCGAGATCCTCCTGGTAGTTCAGGTTTCAGGAGGCTACAGTGAAAGGATGGACAAAATTCAAGTTACAATAAAAACAACACAGAATTACCAGACCAGGGTTTACAGTTCGTCAGATTCACGAGGTGCAGCTGTAGACAGTGGCATACATCTTTTTGCACAAGGCTGACAGCACCTGGAGCCAAGTATTTCCAGAGTCACCACACCTTCTCACTATCCCTGTAATCACCCTTGGCTCACACAGGACCCTCTGCCCTAAGCTCATGTCATTCCTTCTGCCCATCTTTAGTGTCAGTTCTTTCTCTGCATTTCCAGAAGGTGGCATCATTAAACTCCATTGGACCTGAAAGTCATTCATGGTTAAACCAGGGCACCAGTCAAGCCAGTGGAGTCACTGATGAGCAAGTACAGAGTGTAAAAAATATGTTTATGAAAAGTAAGAAAAAATTAATCACTACATTGTGCTGATGGAAGAAACTTCAGTTTCTCAAAGGTTTTATTTATTTGCTTGTGAGCAAATGAAAGTGTGTGAATGTAAAATTAACTATAGGCAGTTTTACCAATAATTCACAAAGCACATCAGATTACCCTGTGAATCACAAAGATGACAGAGGTACTCCAATGAAAACCTTTTGTTGTGCCTGCCACAGTTTCATTTTGGTGTCCTGAGTGGTTTCCCCTGCTACTAAATGTGAACTGAATATTGTGTAAGTTGGCTGTACAGATTATCTTGAATGGGCCTTTCAGTGAAGCAGCTTTTCCATGGGATAACAGAGTGCCTGGACCTTAGCAAACATGGAAAGATTAGTAGTTGGTAAGATCAAGTATTAGTTCTTTCTCACTCTTGATCCTGTGCAAATACTTTAGTTCTTTTATATTACATCTGCTGTGGGAGGAACATGTCAGGAGAGACTTTGAAGATGTAGATGTTTAGGATACCAGTAATTTAATAAGCTTTTAAAGGCTACCAGCAACTAAAGTGTTTGAGACTCAGAGGCACCAACACAAAGCACACAGAACACAAAGCCTTTACGCCACATTGCCATCCTTCCTCTGTATCTAAACTCATCACAATAAGCACACAAAAAAAATGGCTTGAGAACACTTCTGCTATTCACCACTGCCTTGCCTTTTTTCTTTTTTTTTTTTTTTCTTCAGAAAGGCCAGCCTTTAAGAAGGTATCATAGTTAAGATTAGATGATGGTGGGGACATTTAGAAAAACAAATAATTAAATCTCAGGTATCAGCTGCTCCTCAGAGTGGAAACAGCCCAAATTTCTTACCTACCTGTAGAAACAGCTTGGTAACATTTAACAAATCACTAAACATGACAAAGAAAGCTCCCTGCTGTGCCATTTCACATTTAAAAAGAATAAAACTCATGTTTTTTACACCAGTGATTTTTATTTTAAGTAAAATTCAACATACAAAATGACTATTTCTATCATGCTCGAGGTGAGAAGTTTCAGTTCTTTTTTTTAATGAGGAGTTCTGTCTGGAGCAGCTTTGCAAGCTCAGCATGTAGAAAGAAAGCAAATTAGGCTGAGGAAACAGAATGGCTGACACCATTCACAGCATCACTAGTGGATATAAACAGTAGAATGCACACTGGGGCTGGTCCACTGAAAGAAAAAAAGATGAGGGGAATTGCAGCTTAGCGTTGAACAGGGAAAGATGCTTTTGGCTTAAATCATTTCCTTGTCAGCACAAACAGCTATCTTAGCCAAAGGGAATTAATGCATTCAAAAAGATTGAAGTAAATTGTGAGTGAATCATCAGAAACAACAACAGTGGTTGTCTCTAAAGCTAGGAAATTATTCACTTCCTTTTTAAAGTTCTCTCTCAGATTGCTCTCAGTTTTGCTGCAAGAAATTTGGAATACATTAAAAATTACAAAGAAAGGAACAGTACAATAAACTGGTAGCACAAACACTTTGCTAACAAGGAAGGATGGGAGCTACAGATGTGCGAACTGTAATCCAAATTCTCCTGAATTGCAAAAGAAGAACCCCACAAGGCCAGACTATGCACGAAGGAGCTGGCCACCTGATGGAGAGGATGGTTTGATGAGAAAGGTAAATGTCCATCTGTGACTTTGGCAGCCTAGATCCTGCACTGATCCACACAATCAGTCAAAATACTAATTCTTGCAATAGTTGTCCCTTTTTATTTACTGTCATCTGCTTCTCCCAAGGGCCAGCCTCTTCCAAATGAGGGCTTGTCTGAATCATCTGTCCCTGGCCAGCACTGAGATCAGACAGAATGGATGGTGCACTGCCATATCAGTGGTAAGTATCTCACAGCCTACTCAGTGAGTTACGTAAATGTCTATCTGGAGTCCTTCCTTGGGCAAGACTCTTATGCCTCCTGTAAAATGACAAATTAATTATAAGACTTCCCATAAAAGATGAGAGTGGCTGAAATAATCTTTTGGTGAGAAGCAAAGTTTTTTATGATATGTTGTTCCACATTTTGCTTTTATTAAGTTTCTTCCTGTTCCATTTAATGTGCCCTCCCCCACCCCTTACCATCTCATATAAAAGGTTAATCTTCCAGTCAGGCCAATCAGGTTTGGTCCACACCTGTGCACTCATGATTTATTTGGTCAGTGCCACATATCCCGATACCATTTAGTAAAGTGGTAAAATGACCTTCTCTTCCCCTTCAAAACCTTTAGTTTTACAGCAACATCACTGAGAACACTTCCTCCTTCCCCCATGATCTTGCCATCTCCTGCCATTCTCCCTTGTCTTAGTCTCTGCCAGGTTCTCCAAGAAGCATCTGAAAAAGACAGCCATGTGTTACAAGGGGACCTCAGAGCTCCCCTGCTGGAAACTAGTTATACTCAGTCCCTTCCACTCTTCTTTCTCTCCAAGCAATTGCAGGACTGAACTCACAACACCTTTTCTCTATTTTCTGCATTGTCTCATTTGCTCTTTTTTTTCCTGTTTGCTCTCCAGTTTTCTTTGCAGGCTCTCCCAGGGACTCTGTCCACTGGTAAGCCATCAGAAGGGATTTCAGGATTGATTCATGTCCTCTTGATTTTTATGAACTGGTAGATATATTTTTTTAATCTTCATTTTCCAGAGTTCACACATCATAAGTTTTCAGCATCTGAAGTTGTAACTATTTTTCTCTTTTTTGTGACTAAACATTCCTCTTTCTGCAGAAACACTTGCTCAGTCTTCTTTCCCATTTGGCGATTTACCATGAAGTGAGTTGGTATTATGGCAGGTGCATTTGCTACTCGAAAGCCTTCCAAAGAAGGACTGGGAAAAAAGCACTGTGCCAGGTAGGTGCTTTCTTCAGGCTAGTGCCAAATGGATCATTGCAACCTGGAATTCACATAGCTGCAGACTTTTTCCCTGCAGACAGTATGCCTGAAAGATCAGAAACATATCTTGAATTGTGGCGTGTGTGCTAATGATAGGTTTTGAAAGATTGCTGATGATGGTCAACACATCTTGCAAAATGTTGCTGCTGATGGGAAAACAATTCCTTAACCAGAGTTCTTACACGGTCGAAGGGATTTAATATCTGGATTCAGTTCTATCCACCTCTTCATCTGGAAATCAAGAAAAATCATCACTGATGAAATTCAGAGAAGATACGTAGTTTGATAGAGCTGAAAATAATGAGTGGGACGAGATAAGCATGCAGATGCATGATGGTTTATTGAGGAGAAAAAATTTGCAGCCAGAACTAAGAAACATCAATGTCTAGGAGAGCATTGTAAAGAGCAAGAGGTGTTTTTTTCCTGAAAAGCATGTACTCAAAGAAAGATTTTCTGTCATAGTTATTGTGGCTAAAGAGCTGAACTTGTGGCTCTAGTGCAACAATATGTCAAAGAAAAGATTAATGAGGCCCTTAGAGAGACAAAAGAACAACAAGAGGAACAGCTTCTGGTTTCTGTGAACAGAGCTGATGAAATGGGTACAATAGTCTGCTTATCTGATGTCCACATCCTTTAAGGACTGCTAGTACACTGAAGAGAAAATGTACATGATCTGCAGATCAATAACCTGTACTGGAGGAACATCTCCCAGAGACAGATTTTAAAATCTCTACAGACACAGCTTGTGAAAGATGACTGGCAAGATCCTTCCCATACAATTGTTTAATTCTGGCAAAACCTGAAACCAGTTGATCCTGCATCTCATGCTGTCTTCACATCAAGCTTTTCAGCCAAACATAAGTTATTGGGCAGTATAACAGAGGCATATGAGATAGCAGCAAGTAGCAAAACTGAACAAGAGCTGTACCTGTGTCTGGAATAACACCAGAGAGTGAACAAGAAAACATATAATCTCTTGTGGACAGAGATGTCCGATTCTTCCTACTCTCACTACCACCTTCTGTAGATTTCTTGTTTCTGCTTCTCACTGTGTCATTTCAGTTTCCTCTGATCACAAGAAAGCAGGCTCCTCTGTTGAGAAATGGTTTATACTTCTGCTTGGCTGGTCTTTTCTGGAAAACAGCACCTGCCAGCTGCCAGCACAGCTGTTCTGTTGGCAGGACATACAACCACCCCGCTTGACTACCATATGTCCTCTGTGCTAGCTTCTCCTTTCTCAGGATCCCCTAAAAGACAAATAAGGCCCATCTCACTCTCAAGATAAATTCATAGAAGCTGCTGAGCTTCCTGCTGGGACAGAGAGCCACGGTAAAGCTCAGCACTTTGCATGCTCTGTCCTTAGACCACACATGCATGTGCATATCCTACTTCTTATTCAATATTTTGACCACTCTTATATTTTGTGCTAGGCAGTGGCAGGAGGTAGATTTGCTGTATATAAAACCTGCAACAGAAAATATCAAGCAAAAAGGTAGTGTGAATTAATATGCCTTCATTTCAGTTTTTAGTAAGGTAAGTAGAAGTTAGGAAGATCAAACAACAGTGATTAAAAGGAACCTTCCCAACACTAAATCTATAAAGTTTTTTTCTTCTACAATTACAATTAATTGAAAAATTATCTATCAGAGAAGGACTAAAAACACACTTTTCACACACACGCAAAGTGCCTGACTCCTTTCTGCTCACTACAGGTGATTCTTTGATTTTTTTTTCCCCTGAGATTAAGAAAAGAACAAGGTTTCAGTTGGATGAGAGCTGAGTGACATCTATGCTTAGTGACATCAGTTTTAATGATTGCTGGATGAGATGAAACGGCTTTAACTCAGTAATCAGTCTCCCAGTGGAAATGGTGATTTTTTAAAAACATTATGTGTTTAATTCTATTTCTGACTTAAAGGGACTGTTTCTGATGAGCACTGAGGAGAGAAGTACTTATGATACAATCTAAGGAAGTCGAGGCTTCCGTTAAGAGACACAGCTACCTAGTGACATCTGCTTTTTACATCTGGTGGATAGTGCTGTGTGGGTAGCACCTCCGTGGCGGAGCTACCTGAAGAGAAGCAAGTGATTCTGCACCCTTACAGCAAAGAAGCTTCGTCACATCATCTGAGAAGAAAGGAGGAGAAAAGGTAAAATTCATAAAATGCTCAAGCATTCGTGTATCATGTACACTCATGATATGTGTGAATGTAATGCTTTCTCATTTACCTTTTATAGCTTCTCAGGTAATTCTTTTAGGCAGTTTTAAGAATTCTTGCATCATCAGAAGTGGGTGTATTCTGTGAGCATATGTTTTTAAGTACTCAGATATATTATGCTGAACCTAGATTAGATTCAGGTATGTCTGGGTGCAGTTGCTGCAAAGCTGTCATTTCTACACCACTGGTGTCAAACGGTTCCTGTAACTTTGTGATTTGTAAATCAGATTAAATTCCTCTCTGTAGAATGAAACAGAACTGTAGGCTGGAAAGGTGTCATGCTTGGGACTACATGCAGTAGGTTTCAGATTAATGATAGTCAATGTTTGCTGGTATGTAGCAGCAACACACAGGGCAAAGACAAGTAAAGCTAAGAAATTTCTCTTCTGCTTTCTGTTCATAAAATGAAGACAAAGGGGAAGAACATAGCTCAGGCTTAGAGTTCTAATATGTTAGGTTAAAAAAATGCTACTTGTGATGTGAATAACCCGCATAAGAACAGAACTCAGACTTGAATTTCTGGTATGCTAGGCTAAAAGAATGATGCTGTGATGTGAATAACACACAGACTCATAAGTCAGCAAAATATTTGCCCTGTGTCCAAACTTACATCACTTATGACTGCCTATTAGAAAAGAACATGCATATGAAGATGACAAATTCCTTTTACTCATTTAGCCATTGAAAACAAGCACTTTTCAAAATAAGCACTATTGAAAGCTCATGACAGCTTTCAGGAAATGTAATTTCATAAGGAAAGTCTGATGCATGTTTATCACTGTCTTTTTACGGTGGGTGACATATGCCTGATGGGAAAGGTGGGTGAGTGAAATTCTGAACTGCTATGAACAATGAGTTTGCTTTTTACTTTGCTCTACATGGAACTTAACCCTCTCTGATTTGACACCGTGGCTCACATCTTTCATTCCCATGCTTTCCTGTCATCCATTTGAACTTCCCTTTGTGCTTGATATGCAAGTTGCACAGTGCTGCATGGACTAAGCACATGCATGCTAAGGACAGTACCTTGTTCAAGTGTGCACATGCATCCATCCCATAATGCTTACATAATGTCTGAGAACCTGCAGTGAGTCGTGTGCCGAGCTGCGAGTCAGTCACTTGTGATTCAGATTTGTGGAGTAACCACATGGTCTTGACGCACTGAAAGTCACTGACATTTTTATATTCTTCCCTTCTCAGAACTGGGGGAAAAAACATGAGTTCTTCAAGTACAGAGTCCCTTGAAGTTGAATTCTCAACCTTTTATGACTATTACGATACTTATTACGATGCTCCAAAATTATGCAGTAAAGAAGGCGTCAGGAGGTTTGCAGCCTCCTTCCTACCTGTTCTGTATTCCCTGGTATTCCTGGTCGGGCTCGCTGGAAACATTTTGGTCATCGTGGTTCTCTTAAAATACAAGAGGCTGAAGAGCATGACTGATGTGTACCTGCTAAACCTCGCCATCTCAGATTTGCTCTTCGTTTTATCTTTGCCATTCTGGTCTTACTTCTCAGTAGACCAATGGGTTTTTGGAACTCCGTGGTGTAAAATCATTTCGTGGATCTACCTGGTTGGGTTTTACAGTGGGATATTTTTTATTATGCTAATGAGCATAGACAGATACCTGGCAATTGTCCGTGCAGTGTTTTCCTTGAAAGCAAGGACCGCCTTCCATGGCTTGATTACTAGCCTTGTTGTATGGCTAGTAGCTCTTTTAGCCTCAGTCCCTGAGCTTGTATTTAGAGAGTCTTTTAATGAACATAATTATACTACCTGCAAGCCGATATTTCCAGGCAATTTCACAACATGGAAGCTTTTTTCCACTTTGGAAGTCAACATTTTAGGGCTCCTAATCCCTTTTATAATTATGACATTTTGCTACTCCATGATCATTAAAACATTAGTTCACTGTAGAAATGACAAAAAGAATAAGGCTGTGAAGATGATTTTTGCTGTGATGATTGTGTTTTTCTTTTTTTGGACCCCCTACAACATTGTTATTTTTTTACAACTGCTGGAATTTATGGGAGTCATTAAAGACTGTCAAGTGAGCAGGAGTCTGGACTATGCCTTCCAGGTAACAGAAATCCTTGGACTTTTTCACTGTTGCCTCAATCCAGTAATCTATTTCTTCATGGGGGAGAAGTTTAAGAAGTACCTGAAGATGCTCTTCAAGAACTGGCAGTTACCTGGGTATTTCTGTAAGTGGTGTGGAGTTCACATCACTTACCACACTGAATCTACTAGTTCATTCCACACACAGTCTACAGGGGACCAAGACGGTCTGTAAGGCATTTCAGACCAGCCACTGAATCAGCAGCAAGCAAACTGACAACAGTGGGAACTTTGAAAAGCAGGAACTTTGAAAAGCTAAGCAAATGCAGACACATCTAACAATAAGCTAGTGCTGGATAATTATTTACTTCAGCTTTATTTGTGCCTCTAGATTTTCTGAGTATTATGACAGAAGATGTCCCAAATGTGGAACATGGGAGATGGACATGCAAGGTTTCTCCGCTGTGATTACAAATCACTGCTCAGCTCTGTGCAAAGCACTGCACTGCGTGGCTTCTTTTTCTCCAGCATCAAGACATTGGCCTGCATGGAGGGGCAGAGGTGAGGCAGCACCTTGTCATCAGCACATGCACTTGGAAAACATATTCATGTATTCAAGGATGATGATAACCATACTTTTTTATTCTGCAGTTGACTCTTAGGTAGCTATTAGCAGTATCTGCTACTTTTAAATGTTTCATGGCAGGGGAGACGATATATCCCCTGTTATTAAGAAAAAGGACAAAATATATTCTCTATATGCACAAAGACACAAAGCAAAGCCATTACTTTTCATTGTAGGTGTGTTTTCTCTCGGGTTGACATATATGTCTATATATAGGTGTATATATAGGCATTTTGAATTACTTTATCACTGTAACTCAGGATAGCAATTCTGTATTTTAATTAACATAGAAAATATTTTGAATATTTTTGAATAAAAGTGTTTAAAAACCTTATTTTCCAACATGTGTGAATAAATTTGAAGCATCTTAGTTAATAGTATATATTTTAAAATGAATGTCCTTTCTTCCAAAAGTACTTAATCCTAAGACTCAATTTTCATTCACTGGAGATGTATCTGGCAAAACAAAAGAAAGTAAAAACAGAGATTGTGTAGAAAGAGTCTGTCATAACTTAGTAACCACACATAAAATCTTTGCATTTGATAACAGCAAAATATAAGCAGTGTGATACCCCAGTAGCCGCTCACAGGATATTAAATGATCAGAGATCTGTAACAGGAAGGAAAGTCACACAGAAGTGTTTAGATTTTGGCACCAAAATGATTTTAAAAGAGGCAAAAAATCAGTAATGTGGTGGCAGACAAATTAAGAGTTGAAAAATATGTATTAGACGATATTTCTGGTGTGTCTTTTTGGTGGACAACAACAATTCAGATTACTTATTATGAACCAGATGAATTATTTTCTTACAGTAATAAAGTGCCTGCTCAGCATTCAGCCAAGGCTGCAAAGAGCAAATAAGGCCTTAAAATGCATCAAGAAAGGGCTGAAGAAGAAATGTAAAAATACTGTGATGCCATTTTACTCATCACTCTAAATGAGAGACATAAGTGGAAGCTCATCTCCATGTGACCTTCTCTCATGATACAAAACTGAAAATAAAATGCAGTACACTTAAATCTCTCTCACACTCGTATCTATCATAATTTTGGGAATGCACTACCATTTGCAGTTCGCAGAGGATGACAAGGGAAGATCTGCATTAATGCAGATAATAGTAATAGCTGTGGAAGACAACTTGAAGTAAGAAATAGCCTTTATTTCTAAGAAAAAGACTATAAATTCTTGCTACTCAAAACCTTAGAAGCCACTGCATAAATCACTTGGGAAAAACTGATAGAGTGGGTTACAACATCTATCACCTTTTTCGAAAAGGAAGACAAATTTCAAGTGTGAGGTGCTTCAAATTCTCACAGATGACACTGAAGCCACTATAATATCCCAAGGTGGCATGGCACATCATTCTCAGATAGTGATGCTGATAGCAGAGCCACTGTGAACTGCTGAGCTATGCACTTGTCTGATGCACAGACTAACTGGGAAGTCAGACAGCTTCCACTGCAGCTTCTTTTTTCTTTGTCCTGCTCTGTAATCCCCCTAGTCAGCAAGAATGGTCCTTGCTTTCCAGACTAAGGGAAAGGCTGCCTGTGCTGGCCTGGCAAAAATGATGGTTAACAAGGAACAAACAAGCTGTAGGCACTTGGCAGCTGTGAGGTAAGAGACATCCAGGGCAAAGAGTGGTATGAGGGAATGGCTTGCAGGCTGGTCCAGGTCTGGGCAAACTCTGTGGTGAGGGAGGATGCTGAATCTGGTCACGTTGGAATTAATGGGGTGCACCCAGTGACCATGCAGCAATGCCACAAATAGAGCCAATGTAGAGCCTCTCTCCCACACAGAACTCAAATGAGCCTCATGTCACCACTCAGCTTTGTGTCCCATGGCTTGTGCATGTTTCCCTTGACACAGAGGGTGCCTGGTGCAGCCAGAACTCCTCCCAGGTGAATGTTGTCTTGTTTCTCTGTGCAAAATAGCCTCTTCCAGTGCTCCCAGTAATATTCACAGCTGCTCAACGCTTGTGCTGGATGAGCAGCTGAGCTGAAAGCTGTGCTCTGAGCAGCTTTGCTGTGTTGGGTGCAAAGAGGAACTCATGTTAAATTGATGGGTTCAGGAATTCAGGTCCTGGGGCTGGAGCTCATTGAACATGGGTGGCTTCTTCCTCTGTCACCTGAACAAATCTCCCCTCCCCCATGCACCGAGCTGCAGTGGACAATGCCACTCCTCTTTTGAGAGAGAGCTTTGAAACCTGCTGATGAGAAAGGACGAGATAATAGTATTAATATAGACAAAAATAAAGTAGGGATTTTCAAAATGTCACTTGACAAAGTTGTTATTTTAGCTGAACAAGAATTTCCAGCAATGAAGAATGTATTTACGAACCCACTGAACCATGAAAGAAAATGGATAGACATTTGAGTGAAGCAAAGCTGACTCATTCTTAAAGCTACATTTTTACATCAAGGTTCCTCAGAAGGCCACCCTGCATCCTCTCTTCAGTTATGCTAAGCAGCCATAGAAAGGTAGATGAAGGGGGAAATCAGCTAATTAGATTAAATATAAATAATGATGAAAAGATAACAATAAGTGGATTGGTTTTCATAGCATGCTTAGGCCACCATAGTCACTCCCTAAACAAAAAGCTGAAATACACATTTACTCCAGAGGGCAGCTTTACCCCTTTTAATCATGCAAAACAGCACTGTGGTCAGCAGCCTGCTCCCAGTCAATCTACTCCTCTCAGACAGAGAGCCAGTGAGGAATTGCAGTTCTCCTTCCTAGACTGCACCTGCTTGTCACTGTCCCAGCACCAGCTCTCCACACCTGCTATAAAGGGGAGTACAATTCCACAGGCACCACAGTGCTCCGCTGTTACCAAGATGCTTCTGAACTGCCAGCAGGGATCTACATCATCTACACTTTCTCCTTCAAAAGCTCTTAATTCTTTGCAGTTTTATCCAACATCTCTCTCTTAACACAACCAGAGACCAACTTCATCACATCCTGCCTCTTACGTCAACATCTCCACCTGACTTGATTTACAGTTAGAAATCAAGGGCTATTTAGAAATGTCTACAAAATAATCATTAAAATAGTGCTTAAGGCAATGCCTACTGAAAGTTCAACCTTGCTACTGCAGTCATGAAAGGAGACTGGAAATGATACAATAGTGGTAAGATTTGTAGCATTTGTATAACTGATAAGACCATTCAAAGGAAAGGAGTGGTGGTTGTATCTGCAATCATCTTACTGTGACACAGCAATCTGTCACATAAGTGCCAATGCCCTCATAGAGAAATCAGTCCTAAAGCAGTGAGCCCTACCACTGAGGAGACAACAAGTTAGAAGCTCCCAGGATTATTTTCTTTTTCACAGTCATCCAGCAGCAACATCCACCACAAAAACTACCAAAATCCCATCTTATGGGACAGTCATTGAGTCAAAGACACTTCTCACAGAAATGAAGCTCAAAACCAAAGAAGCTCTTTATCTGTTCCAGGCCAACAAAATCAAGTCCTCCATGTTAATGCAGCTCAAATACATGATTGATCAATGGATCACACTCCTTTAGTTTTTTAACTTTTTTATTTTTATTTTTTATTTTTCAAGTCATCTTTGAAGGGTCGAAGTTTCTCTGGGTTTTAATTTCTTATTTCAAAACAAGTAACAGAACACATCCAGTATAAATAGCTCTGTTAATGCATAAATGCCAGCTCTTTGTGAAAGTGTTGCAAAGTAAAACTACTAAGGCACTAAGAATGTTTTTTAATTCTAAGATGTTTGCTTGTTTGCATTTAAAAACAACGGCAAGTAATCAAGAAACTGATCTGCAAGGATCAGATCTTTTTCCATAGATATGAAGCACTCATAAAAAGTACTCTTGGTGATGCTAGCAACATGTAAAACAAGAGACTGAATGAAGATTGACATTACTAAATGCACTCTTCTTCTCAAGAGAGACTAGAGTGTCATTCAATCAGAATTTTCCGAGAAGGTCCAAGCAGCCAAGTTCAGGAAGAGAGTTTTGTATCTGAAACAGTGATTGGAACAATGGGTGGACATCCCTGCATGAAAAGTTAATATTTGTCTCTTTTGCACAGGAACTTTGCACTCCTTAAAAAACCTCCATAGAAGTACTGTGGTTTGGGCAGGACAATGGAAGAGAGGGACCCTCCCTAGCATTTAACCTGTCACCATTACTCACAGAGACAGCATTACTGGCTTGTAGTAACACAAAACCATCTTAATCAAAGTGAGGAAAGACCACAACACATCTCTGTACTTGCTTATAACTGGTAAACTGAAATTTGACTGCAAGCAAGACCGTGACTGCAAACTGAGTGAGTGACTTGCCTTTTCTGCTATCAAAGTATGCAAGAAAGCTGCAAAAAGTGCACAGAAGGAATATAAGGATAGATTTTGCTGTTGCTTATGCCCTTTTTGTTAATTCACAAGCACTGGGATTGGAAAGAAAATATGTCTGGTTGACTGCAGGAAGCAATGACACGTTCTGCAGCCCTGCAGACAAAGAGCACTGAGAAGCTGCAGAGAACACGTCTGCCCTTGCTATCAAGAATCTTGTTTACACTTTCTACAACAGCGAAACTCATAGTATGAGGTGTCACACAAAACTCCTCAGTCCTACAGAGAAGGGTCTGAGGGGTTTATAAAAGGAAAGATTCTGACTGTTTTCTCCTCAGTTCTGCTTTACCAGCCCATCCTTGCATAATTCAGGTGACTACTTGCTTCCTTTCCTCAGAAATATTAGAGAATCTCCAAAATCTCCCACGGGAAGGTTGGTGCCTATCTGCTGCTGTTCTGGCTTTTTGCATGACCACCACCTCATCTCCACAGCCACATGGAGTCAATCCAGTCACTTCCTCATTCATTAAGCTCACATCCTCTGCACGCAGAGGTCATGCAGTGGGAAGCCTGTCTTGTCATGACACCACAGCGCTTTGCTTCTGATAAGGCAGTTTCATAAAGACGTCCCTGCTCATTGCAGGGGAGTGTGACTGGATGACCTTTAAATGTCCCTTCCAACCCAAAAACTTCTATGATTCTATGGAAAGGGCAAATTTTTCACAGCATTGGCTAATGATCAAAACCTTTTAGCCTAAAACTATTTTACAGTAAGCCAAGCCTATTTGTCAATATTACTGCAATAAAATATTTCATTAATTCTGCTCTGAATTCTTATTATAATTTTATTCTCTTGGGGCAAATAATTTCAGAAGTCCTCATGTAACCAAAAATTGTAGAAAAAATACAAGGATTTGTCTTATTTAACACACTTAAACAGTTTAAATAGAAAAAGTCTACTACGTTGCTCAACAAGTAGCTTATTACACATATCCATAGGAATGTACCAGAATTTAGGAAATAAGCTAGCATTAGAAGCAAAATTTCAGTAAAGTGATGA